TGCTACAAGCACTGAAGAGGGGTCTTGGGATTGCTATGGGAACCTCAAGAAACACTGCTGCTGCCTGAAGACAGTCCAGCGGTTTCTCCCACTTACAACAGTCGGCTCCTGGGCTGGAGGGAGCGCCATAGGCTGGTGCCACATACATGCTGTGCCCAGGCTTTGCATGCAGGAGGCCCTCTCTCGGTCCCTGGCACCACCTGGCACTCAGGGTACTGGGAACAAACTTTCGAGGACATGGACGGGGAGAAGAGGTAGGAGGAGAAGTCTCTAGATTTCTGGTTTTTAATGGTGTGGGGGTTGGGCCATACCCAGTGATGCTGGGGGTTACTCCTGGCTCTGTGCTCAGGGATCACTCCTGGTGGTGCTGGGGGGCCCCTTGGGGTGCCAGGGATTGAATTGGGGTCTGCTGTGTTTATGGCAAGTGCCCTACCTGCTCTGTACTATGGCTCTGGCCCTGATCTCTAGATACAAATATTCACTGGTCGGAAGTTCAAAGAGCAACATTTTCCCATCACAGGCTTGTGTTCATGATCTCAGATTCAGCAGACATGTATGGAATGATTCAGAGATGCTCTCCCACCTCCTGAGGAGGCGTCACTGGGCTTAACAAATCCCATGGGAGGGTCCCGGTTGAGCAGGACCCCAGACTCTGTGCTCCACCCTGAGCTCTGGCTGAGGAGACCAGGCATGGTTGCTTTGAGGGTGGGTGGGGAGGATGTGCACCCCAGCAGGGCTGGGGAGACCAGGAAAGGCTGGGGACCAGGCTCGGAGCTCCTGAATACAAAGCACGGTTGGCTGGACGTGACCTCTCCTCTACTGGGGGTTGGAGGGTGGGTTCTGGGCAATGCCCAGAGGTGTGTGGGCAGGAGGCACTCAGGAGGGCAGGACAGGCTGGCAGGGGCTGCGGGCACTCACCGACTCGGGCGCCTTGATGAACACTTTGCTACGGCCCAGCTGGAACTGGTCGCTGTCCATGTTGACAGACTGCAGCAGGTGCAGGACACCTTGCTTCTCGTCCCCTCGCCATGAGGGCCAGGTGGCTTTTGTCAGAATGGCGTACCTAGGAGGACCATCAGGGATGGGGTAACGTTCAGACAGGGCCCGGCCATTGACAGCCATGGGTGTGAGGACCTTGCTGCTGGCCAGCTCTGGCCCTTAGAGCACTGGCACTGATGCCCGGCGGAGGCCTGGCTTCCGTGTGGAGCCCAGCAGGACTGCCCTGAGGACAGACCCCAGAGCCTTGGGGCCTGCAGTCCAGGGCACCCACACGGTCACCGCATCGGCTCTCTGCAGAGTTCTGAGGGGCTCTGGGCAGCGGGGCCAGTGCTGTGCCCAATCTGTCTTCTCACGCAACACTGGAGCATGTTTGGGGACGGGGTGTGGCAGCTTCCTCATCTGCTTGTTTGGGGGCTGACTCCTGGCTCTGTGCTCAGGGACAACAGGCAGAGCGGGCGATCCAACCCAGGTCAGCCTTCTGCACGGCAAGGCCTTAAGTCCTGTGCTAACCCCCTGGCTCCAAACTCCTCTTTTATTTTATTATTATTATTTTTTAAAATTTTGTTCATCTAGAGGCATTTGTTTGTTTTGCTTTTTGGGTCACACCCAGCAATGCTCAGGGGTTACTCCTGGCTCTGCACTCAAGAATTACTCCTGGCAGTGCTTGGGGGACCATATGGGATGCCAGGGATCGAACCCGGGTCAGCTGCGTGCAAGGCAAACACCCTACCCGCTGTGCTATCGCTCTGCTCCCTAGGGGCATTTTTTAAAAAAAATTAAGAGAGGCTTTTATTTTTATAAAAGACTGTGAGATAGTTACAGTTGTCCATGATTGGGTTTCAGTCATACAGTGTCCCAACACTATCCCTTCACCAGTGTAATTTCCCACCACCAATGTCCCTAGTTTCCCTCCCCTCCCACCCCTATGGCACGCACCTGTCTCTCTCCCTCCCTCCCTCCCTCCCTCTTTCTCTCCCCCCCGCCTCCCCCCCTCCCCCAATTATGGCCTGCAATCCTGAAAGGTCGTCATGCACATCCCTTCCCTCCCTTCAGCACTCAGCTCTTGTCCACCGTGACCTTTCCAGCCATCACTGTCCTCTCATGTGTCCCCGCTGCCCCCCTCTGTCCAGCCTCCCCTTCAGTCTCACCCTCCTCAAAGCCTTTGCCCATGTTGTCCCTACTACTCTCATGCAAGTGCTCTACCTGCTGCATCCTAGTCCCCGAAAAACAAAGGTTTTTTTTTTTTTTTGGCTTTTTGGGTCACACCTGGCGATGCACAGGAGTTACTCCTGGCTCTACACTCAGGAATCACCCCTGGCGGTGCTCAGGGGACCATAAGGGATGCTCAGGGGACCATATGGGATGCTGGGAATCAAACCCAGGTCGACCGCTTGCAAGGCAAACACTCTACCAGCTGTGCTATTGCTCCAGCCCCAAGGTCTTTCTATTTTCAATTGTGCAACTGCAAACACATAGCTCAACTCTCAAGTTCCTCCTATTAATGCTCTATTTCTCACTTGATTTAGATATACAGTAAGGAAATTGCTTGCATAGGTTTCCTTCCTTCCTTGAAAAGGGCTCCCTCCCTCCCTCTTTCCCTTCCTTCCATGGTACTGGGGTGGTGAGGGTCTCCCCCACTGAACTATCTCCCCAACACCCTTAAGTGCCCTTAAGGTCGAGCTATAGCCTCTATGCAGAAAGATGATCTCTCACCTGGCTTTTCCAAAGAAATAAAGCCCTAAGAAACAAACCGCCACCACCAAAACTGAACAAGTATCACAGTCACAAAATACAAATCCGTGTCTCCTGGCTGGAGGTGGCCCAGGAGCCAGGGCCACGCACTCCGCATGTGTGGGACCTGAGCGTGAGCCTGACACTGCACGGTCCCCGGTGTCACCCTGGCGATCTGGAGCGTGGTTGGAGTGGAAGGTTCCTGCAGGGAGGCGTGGAGGAGGTGGTTCTAACTCTGCCCACGCCTTCTGGGCATCTCCAGGAGTGTCACCAGGAGCACTGAGCACTGCTCAGGAAGCCCCTTCCTGTCCCCAAAGGATCTCTAGTTGTCTGCAAGTGCAATGCTATTAGGAGACCATTAGACAGGATCTGAGCGTCTTAAGTATAAAAGAAAAATAAGAAGTGAATAAATAGTGTTTTGATTTTGTTGAAAGCAAGGCTTATTAAACTATAGGAAGATGGAAAAAAACCTTTTCATTTTTCATTTTCTGTATTACATTTCTTCTCTACATTAAAGAAAGCAATTTGGGGGCGGGAGAGATAGCGCGGTGGGCATGATACTTGTCTTGGATGCGGCTGACCTGGATTCAATCCCCAGCACCCCACCTGGTCTCCTGCATCTGCCAGGAGTGATCTCTGAGTGCAGAGGCAGGAGTCAGCCCTGAACACTGCCAGGTGTGGCCCCAAACCAAAAAGCCAAACCAAAACAAATAATAAAAAGAGGGCAATTTCAAAGAAGAATCATTTTGAAAAACTCTGATGATTACCTAATTTCTGGGTCTCAGCTGGCCTCTGGGGACAAGAGGCGATATCTGGGAGGCTCCGTCTGCTCACAGCGCGGGATGCGGGCTGCTGGCAGAGGCCCAGCCCACCACACTTATGCGGCCCCGTCACCCAGAGAGCCTGCCCCAGGCGAGACAGGCAACGCTGCCCCAACAGGCATCGGCAGACCAGCAGCAGAGCAGACGCTGGCCCTGCGAAGAAGTGAGATGCTCTCTGGGATTTTCTCTGCTTCCTAAATTCACTGTCCATAAAGGCCAGTTTATAACAGAGGCGGAGTGGCCCCCACACCCCCCTCCCCCCTTTAAATTCTGTTTTTGTTTTTGGGCTACACCCAGAAATGCTCAGGGCTTACTCCTGGCTCTGCACTCAGCAATCACTCCTGGAGGTGCTCAGGGACCATATGGAACGTAAGGGATCTAACCCGGGTGGTCTGCATGCAAGGCAAGCATCCCACCTCCTGTGCTACTGCTCTGGCCCCAGGGAGTGACCACTTTAGTCTAGAGCTGAATTTTGTTTCTAGTCTAATGGGCTCCCGTTTGTGAAGACTCTCAAGATGCACCCACTGAGGATCCCTGGGAGCCGGCTGCCTTCACTGTCCATAAAGCAAGACCCCCCCCCCCCCCCGGAAAAATAATCAATACAGGAGGAACAACCTCTCAGTGGCAGGAACGCAGCTCTAGCTCATCACCTACTTGCCACAAGAAATCTGAATGAAAACAACATCATCAACGAACACCTGGCATTCTGCTCCTGCAAAATACACTTAGGAAGACACAATTCATTTCTGATGAAAATGCTAAACGTGGCTTCCTTAAAACGGCTGTAGAAAATACAGTGAAACTCTGTAACTTAGAATCACGAGAGAAATGAAAAGCAGGTGATGCTTTTTTACAAAGGGACCCCGAGCAGTGCTGGGTGTGCCCCTTCCCTGCCAAAGTAAACCTAGAAAATTCGTAAGTTCAACCAGCATCAACACGATCATGAATTTCTAAATGTATGTGTTGCACTAAACAGAACAAACGCCTGCAAATACTAATTCATTCTAAAGCCAATGACGGAGAAAGAATTCTAACTTAATAACGAAAGGAAAAACAACCCAGTTTAAAACTGGAAAAGGGGCCAAACAGACATTTCTCTAATGGCCAATAAACCCACGGAAAGATGCTCAAGACCACTTCTCTCTGGGAAATACAAACTCAAACCGCTTCCTAGCTACGAGGATGGCTAGAAGTAAAAACAAACAAACAAACAACAAACAAAACACCCCAGAAAATAACACATGCTGGCAAGGATGCAGATAAACTGGAGCCTCCAACATTGCCAAGGGAAATGGAAGGTGGGTTGGACACTCAGGAAACGATTTGGCAGTTCATCAAAAAGCCCCAACACACGACCCAGCAATTCTATTCTTAGGTCTGCACTCAAGAGAAACGAAAGCACGTGTTCACCCCAACAGCACCAGAACGCTGGCTCCAGTGGGGGGGACGGGGGACACAGCATGGAACGGCCTGGAGGAGGGTTGCAAGGCAGAGCCCCTGCATGGAAGAGCCAGACCCGAGGCTGCCACACTGAGACTCGGCGCCTGCAACAGTTCACTCAGACTCAGCGCCTGCAACAGCAGGTCTGCGAGGCAGTGAGTCGCCGAGGGAGGGGATGAGGGGAAGGAGTATTTCCTTGGGGACCGATGAAAATGTCCCCCAGTTAATTGTGGTGACAGCTGCCATGCTATAAATAGATTCGGAGCCAGGGGACTGTACGGTATGTAAATGAAATCTCAAAAAAAAAAATATCTGTTTAAAACAAAAAAAGAATGCTGCGTCTCCGGTTCATTACCTCTGTAGGAATTTCTGGAAGATGCGTCGGTAGGCATAGCCAGCTCTTCTAACTCGAATATTCTCCTTCAGACCCAGGTACTCCACTTGATGCTTCACCCTACAAAGAAAACAGAGAGAAAATGGAGCCCATGCACGACTGGAGAGTTCTGCAGCCCCATTCTTCCAACGCCCAACACACTAAGTTGAGATGCAAGAAAATATATTGGAAGAGTAAAATTCAGACTCCTCAGACTCAGGGTTGGTCTCTCAGGTTCAATATTACTTTTATAAATGTTTTACTATGATATGCAATTATATTATACTTGACAATAGCATTTTTTTCATTTTATTTGTGTGTGTGTGGGGGGGATGGGACACTTGGCAGTGCTCAGGGCTTACTCCTGGCTCTGTGCTCAAGGATTACTCCTGGCAGGACTTGGAGCACCAGATGGGGTGCCAAGGATCGAAACTGTCAGACATACATAAGGCAAGTGCCTTAACCACAATTCAAAAAAGGGATATAGTCACACCCCCTCCCGACCCCACCCCACAAACACACACCCAAGGTAAAAAATTGGAGAGGATTTGCCAGATAGCATGAACCATGGTCTTGATCTGCCCATTTCCTGCTATCCTAGTGAACCTGCTTGGCGTCTAGAAGATGGCTCTGTCAGAGTCAGGGAAATTTAACCACAGACACTGTAGAATTCCTACATTTGAGGGATTTACAGTGCTGGTTTCTACCTATACGGGGCAAGAGAGCTGTTGACTTTGATTTTTTTTTTTTTTTTGGTCACACCTGGCGATGCTCAATGTTTCCTCCTGGCTCTGTGCTCAGGGATCCCTCCTGGCGATGCTTGTGGGATCATATGGGATGCCAGGGATCACACCCAGGTCGGCCATAAGCAAGGCAAGTGCCTCCCTGCTACACTATGGCTCCAGTGTCCTGCCTCTATAGCGCAAGTGAAAGGCAATGAAGGGTTGTGGGGGGAGTTTGAGCCTAAGAAATGGGGGAGGGTGCGCTGAAGCTGCCCTCCACACACCCCTACTTCTGAGGCTCCAACAATACTCCCTTTCCTGTGTGCAGGTGACTCGAGGCAGGTGCCTGGCCGGGGGAACAGATGGGGAGATCCACTGAAGGACGCCTGGTTCTAGAAGCCTTTAGGTTTATTAGTTCTGCCTTGGGGACATGCCTGGTGTGCTCCGGGCTTACTCCTATCTCTGAACTCAGGAACCACCCCCGTAGGGCTCAAGGGATCTTACGAGGTACCAGGGACAGAATCTAGTTGGCCACGTACAAGGCAAGTGCCTTCCCCAACACTATTGCTCTGGCTCCATGGACCCTCTTTGTTAAAGAGCGGGAAACTGAGATTTAAAATGGCGGGGGCTGGAGCAATAGCACAGCAGGTAGGGCGTTTGCCTTGCACGTGGCTGACCTGGGTTCAATTCCCAGCATCCCATATGGTCCCCCAAGCACTGCCAGGAGTGAGTCCTGAGTGCAGAGCCATCAGGAACCCCGGTGCATTGCCGGGAGTGACCCAAAAAGAAAAGAAAAAATAAAATAAAATAAAATGGCTGGTGACATCCAAAACAACAAAAGCAACCAGTGTTGGCGTGCATGTGGGGAGAAGGGGATGTTCCTTCACTGCTGGTGAGAATGCCGACTGGTTCAACCCTTTTGGAAAACAATATGGACGCTTCTCAAAAAATTAGAAATTGAACTCCCATTTGATCTAGCAATACCACTTCTAGGAATATATCCCAGAGATGCAAAAAAGTATAGTAGAAATGACATCTGCACTTATATGTTCATTGCAGCACTGTTTACAATAGCCAAAATCTGGAAAAAACCCGAGTGTCTGAGAACAGATGACTGGTTAAAGAAACTTTGATACATCTACACAATGGAATACTATGCAGCTGTTAGAAAAGATGAAGTCATGAAATTTTCATGTAGGTGGAAAGTATATTTGATACTTTCCATATATATTTTCATGATACTTTCCCTATATATTTTCATATACATGGAAAGTATCATGTTAAGCGAAATGAGTCAGAAAGAGAGGGACAGACATAGAAAGATTGCACTCATTTGTGGAATATAAAGCAACAGGATGGGAGACTAATACCTCAAAATAGTAGAGATAAGTACCAGGAGGATTACTCCACAGCCTCGAAGCTGGCCTCACATGCTGAGGGAAAAGGCAGCTCAGATAGAGAAGGAAACACCAAGTAAAGGGTGCTAGGAGGGCACGCTCGGGATGGGAGATGTGTGCTGAAAGTAGACTATAGACTGAACATGATGGCCACTCAATACCTCTTTTGCAGAGCTGGAGTGATAGCACAGCGGGTAGGGCATTTGCCTTGCACGCAGCCGACTCAGGTTCGATTCCCAGCACACCATATGGTTCCTCAAGCACTGCCAGGAGTAATTCCTGACTGCATGAGCCAGGAGTAACCCCTGAGCATCGCCAGGTCTGACACAAAAAGCAAAACAAAACAAAACAAAACAAAAAACCCCCCAAAAAACCTCTATTGCAAAACTATAACACCCAAAAGGAGAGAGAGAGAGCAAAAGGGAATGCCCTGCCACAGAGGCGGGGTGGGGTGGAGGGGACGGGATGGGGGTGGTGGGAGGAATACTGGGATCACTGGTGGTGGAAAATGGGCACTGGTGGAGGGATGGGTACTTGATCACTGTATGACTGAAACGCAAGCACAAAAGTTTGTAAGTCTGTAACTGTACTTCACGGTGATTCACTAATAAAAAATTTAAAAAAAAATGGCTGGTGACAGGTGAGCACCAGGTTATGTTCCTTCCAGCTCTGACCTCAGGCCAGTGCTGTGCTTAGACCAGCTGCTGGGCTGCAGATGGCATGGAGCAGGGCACGCCTGGCATGCGGGAACCACAGACCAGTCCCACCTGGCACCACAAACTCTGCCAGGCCTGGGCAACGTGTGGGTGTACAGCTGGGGGTGCCCATGCGGGTACCCTGAGCCTGGCCTGGGGGACCCCCAAGGACAGTTACAAAACACCACGTCCTTGGGGGCAGGACACATGTTCGGCGGCCCAGCAGCAGCACATGGCTGGCACGTGTGAGACCCTGGGCTTCAGGCCCGGCCTTGGCAAGTCAACCCCGCCAGCGCACAACCCCACCTCCCTGCCCCACAGCAACAACAACAGCAACAATGCAAGATCAAAACACTAATGGCAACACCAAGAAGCAGCAGCAATTGCAGCAACAATACAATTGTGTGTTCTTGAGTCCCTGGTGGGGGGAAGGAGGGGAATCCTAGCTGGAGGGCCACAAGTCTGGGAGCGGGGTGGGGACTGGCAGGAAGAGTGGAAAGGGAGGAGTAAGAACACTGAGGCTGCGGGTCCCAAGGAGAGCCGAGAGGCTGTTCCAGAAGCTGCGGGCAGCGGGGTAGCACCCAGGGTTGCTGGAGGGTTGGTCTCAGCCAGACTGCGGATGCGGGACAGGGCAGGGGACTCCCCAGAGGTGCGCAGGGGGTGAGATGAGTCAGTCAGTGACTTAATGGTAGGGCTGAGGACGTGGTGCTGCTCAGATCCAGGGATGCCAGGGACAACCAGGGCCACCCCCACGCCATGTTCAAACAGGTCTCAGCACATGCAGCACACACAACCCTCACCACTGAACTATCTCTCTGGCCCCGCCAGCAGTAGTATGGGGTGGTGCATTTAGGTCACACCCACTGGGGCTCAGGACTCACTCCTCGCAGGCTCAGGGGGGAACCATATGGGGTGCTGGGGACTGAACTCAGGTTAGCCGCGTGCAAGTAAGCGTCACTCCAGCTGCAGGAGAGACAAAGGACTTAGCCCACACCAGGAAGGTGAAAATGCAAAGGAGGACTTGTAGAATGAAGCGCACTCCAGCAGTTTCTTTACAAGGACCCTTTTCTTTCCTGTGACGCCAGGCTGAGGGAGATTTCTCCTACTCAGGTCCTCTTGGGTATTCCTGACGTTATCCACAGATGCCAGCAGACAGGCAGCAGGGCCCAGACAGCAGATGGCACCAGTGCGAGTGGGCTGGCGGGGTGGGGGAGGGGAGGATCGTGCTGGCAGGATGGGAGGTGGATGAGCATATGCCATTGAATGAGCATGTGCCACTCAGGGGGTAACTAGCAATCTTGGTCTCCCGCTGAAGACCATTAGGATTCAGGATCTTAACTCAGAGCAGCTTTCTACTAGAGCTCAGTCTTTTTTTGCGGGGGGGAGGGTCACACGCGGCTATGGACAGGGGTTACTCCTGGCTCTTCACTCAGGAGTTACTCCTGGCGGTGCTCAGGGGACCATATGGGATGCTGGGAATCGAACCCGGGTCGGCCGCATGCAAGGCAAACGCCCTACCCGCTGTGCTATCGCTCTAGCCCCTGGAGCTCAGTCTTGATCAATCACATACTACGTGTAAGAAATCACCGCATGATTTGCTACTGCATGGTCACCACACCCATTTTTAAGTAATACCATGACTGGAGCGATAGTATAGTGGGTAGGGCGCTAGCCTTGCATGCAATGGACCTGGGCTCGATCCTTGGCGCCACATAGCCCTGAGCATCTCTAGGAGTGATCCCTGAGCAGAGTCAGGAGTAAGCTCTGGGCACAGCCCTAAACAAAAAAACCGAAATACTGGCATGGTAAAAAAAAAAAAAAAAACCACAATTTGTAAAAGAAAAAAAAAAAGGGAAGGACATGACATTTGCAGTGACTGTGCTGTGAAAGGGGGTATCTCCTTTACTCTGAAGAGGGGAAGAGAGAGAGAGAGAAAGAGAGAGAGAGAGAGAGAGAGAGAGAGAGAGAGAGAGAGAGAGAGAACTCACACTCACACATACTGCATCCAGAGACTTTGCTAGGTGTCTCCGAAACCGAAACCTCCAGCAGGCAGGGCTTGGGGTGGCACAGTGGCAGAGAGGCCCATGGTTCTACTCCCAGCACTAAGAAAAGGGACACCCACCTGCCTCCTCCCTTCCCAGCCCTGTGACAGTGGGACCAGCTTCTTGGGAAGGCGCCCCGTCCTGTCACTGAGTCACGGTTCCCCGCCCAGCAGCGCTGCCCCAGCCTGCACAGCAGAACTGAAGTGGCAGCTGTGGGGGAGAGGCAGAAAGGGGGAGGGGGTTCTGGCAACGAATTCCTGGGACCCAATAAAACCAATCCGGGTTTGAAGAAGTGCCGGAGTCACGAGCCCTGAGGCACCTGCAGGCATAGATGCTGGGTGCACTCTGAGCTCTGCCCCACTTGCCCCGAGGGCTGAGCCTCCCCCCCACCCCAACCCCAGAGAGAAGCTACAGCAGGACCAAAGGGTTGTAATAAGGA